AAAAAAAAAAAAAATTAAGTTTCTCTCCTCCTCGGCACTGCCTATGGAGGTGGCAGTCATCTCCCATTCAGCATCGTGGCCATCCTCAGACCCCTTGTGAAGCCCAAGATCATCAAAAAGAAGAGCGACAAGTTTATCTGCCATGATTCAGACTGATAGGTAAAATTAGGCGTAACCCAGAGGTGTTGACAACAGAGTTCAGAGAAGATTCAAGGGTTTCAATCTTGATGCCCAGCATCAGTTATGGAAGCAACAAGAAAGCAAAGTATATGCTGCCCAGTGGTTTCTGGAAGTTCCTTGTCCACAATGTCAAAAAAGCTGGAAATGCTGCTGACGTGCAACAAATCTTACTGTGTGGAGGCTGCTCACAACATTGCCTCTAAGAACTGCAAAGCCATTGTGGAAAGAGTAGCCCAGCTGGCTGTCAGAGTCACTAATCTCAATGCTCAGCTACGCACGAAGACTATGAGTAGACAGCTCATGTGCACGTTTTATTTGTGTTTAAATAAAAACTGCAAAAAACAATTAAGTTCAGATGGGGGTGAGGGTACAAAGTTGGTTAACTGACACTGAACACTGATGATAATGAAACATGATAGCTCTTCTAATATTGATTCATTGGTTGAAGTACTGATACTGATTTGGTTGATTCTGATACTCATGTTAGTCTCTGAGATAGCATTTTAGTAACTTGTTTCAAATCATAAGGCATGTTATCTGTGCCAAATTGAGGATTAAATAAATCTTAGCTTCTGAGTGAAGGAGAGGCAGAGGGTACCATCCACAGACACTTAAACACTTTCCATATTTTTCTTTAGGTTGGTACAGGTGCAACAGTAGCCACTTTGGCTGATGCTTCAGAATTACCAACCACAGTCACTGTTGCCCAAGTGAATTATTCTGCCGTGGCTGATGGAGAGGTAAGAAAGAGGATTCTGTCTGCATCTTTTTAGATGCTTGAAAGCATAGGTGAGGGGTAATTGAGGGTACGGAAGAGGAAGAAGTAGTCTGTATGTCTATAGCATGATTTTACTTAAACTTCTTTAAATGTCAGACTGTGACAGTTTTGGAATGTATCTTATGCTATGTGTATATTAATTATATTAACCCTGTGTGTATATTAATTGTAACAGTTGAAATTTATGAGTTGTTATGACTCAAACCCCACTGTCAGGAACCTAAAATCTTACATTCACAACATAGCATTTTCCACTATACTCAATCAAAAAGAATTATTTCTTAAGTACTTTTGTGCTCTGAATCCAAAGGATTTCATCTTTGGGCTTTATGAAAAAAAATTGGTTCATCAAAACTGGAGCTGACTAAGGGAAGCATTCTTTGAAAGAATAAATATATTTGCAAGTCAGTAATGTGGTTTATTACCTTTTAAACATGACTTTGAAAAGGTTTCATAAGAGAATCATTCTCTACTAAAATATGTAATTAGGCTCGGCACCAGTAACTCAGTGGTTAGGGCACTGGCCACATACACTGACTGAGGCTGGCAGTTTTGAACCTGGCCTGGGCTTGCTAAACAACAATGACAACAACAACAAAATAGCCAAGCATTGTGGCCAGCGCCTGTACTCCCAGCTACTTGGGAAGCTGAGGCAAGAGAACTGCTTAAGCTCTATAGAGTTATTATTTATTTTCCTTTTTGAGACAGAACCTCAAGTTGTCGCCCTTGGTAGAGTGCCGTGGCATCACAGCTGGGACTACAGGTGCCCGCCACAACACCCAACTATTTTTTTGGTTGCAGTCATTGTTGTTTGGCGGGCCTGGGCTGGATTCAAACCTGCCAGCTCAGGTGTATGTGACTGGTGCCTTAGCCGCTTGAGCCACAGGCACCGAGCCTAAGCCCAAGAGTTTGAGGTTGCTGTGAGCTGACGCCATGACACTATATTGGAGGTGACATAGTGAAACTCTGTCTCCAAAAAAAAAACCTGTAATTATAGGATGTTAACATAAAGGCATCTAAGCTTTATCGAACACTTAGGGGCTAAGCACTCAACCCTATGAAGTATACATTCTGTTATCCTCTTCACTTTATATATGAGAAAACTGAGACGTAGGTAGTTGAGATGATTTGCCCAAAGTCACGGAGGGTTGTTCAAGCAGGATAGTGCATTTAGAAAAACATTATCTCAACTCTCAGCTTTGAGTCATCGGTGAAGATTAAAGAAGTAAAAAGAAAGGCCAGATGCTGTGGCTCATGCCTGTAGCCCTAGCACTCTGGGAGACTGAGGCAGGAGTATGGTAGGATGGTATGAGCTCAGGAGTTGAAGACTATCATGAAGGAGGCCCTGTCTCTACATGAAATAGAAAAATTATCTAGGTGTGGTGATGCAAACCTGTAGTCCCAGCTTCTCAGGAAGGCAGAAGGATTCTTTGAGTCCAGGAGTTAGAAATTGCAGTGAGTTTTGATGCTATTGTACTCTAGCTGGTGTGACAGAGCAAGATGCTGTCTTTAAAAAAAAGTGAAGAAAAAGGTTCATAAGTCACTGTGGGTGTTTCCCTGAAGATACTGGTATGGTGTACTCCTGAACTTTGAAAAACAGCCAGCATATATCAAACAGCAGCATCAGAAATAAAGCTAAAAGTATCATCTCACCCCTGTTCAAAGCCATGAAACATTTCCATTTAGAACACCACAAAGGCATTTGATTTGTGTGCCTTGGGAACGGGTTGAATGACAAAGCTCCCATAGCTATGGAGATGAAGTGAGAGTGGATGGTCAGGCTCCTTGGTCAGTGGCTTGTATTGAGTCCTACTGTGCTGCAGGTGATCCATTAGCTCTATGGAGTGGACTTAACACAGGATCCCTGCTCTGCTAGGGCTCCACTTCACCTACATAAATGAACTTGTTGTGCTACAAGAGATGTTGGCTCAGCGCCTATAGCTCAACCGGCTAAGGCGCCAGCCACGTACACCTAAGGTGGCGGGTTCGAATCCCCAGCC